GGTGGGCCGTAACTATACCCACTACACGGGAAAAGGGTTACAACCTGTGTCCTTGCGGTGACCGCCACCACAGTCCTTATGTGCACAATACCTTAAACAATATCAAAACAGTAGCACCAAGCAACGTACCAGATCAAACACCTAACAGGGCTAGTGTTGTTCAAGCATAAAGAAAATAATAACAAAGTAGCAGGTTATCAGAGAGCCCACCGATATATGTCCTCTTCTCCCTCTCTGCCTACGGTTTACCGGGCAGCTTTGTTTGACGATATATATAATCTAAGGAAAGAAGGTAGAGGGAAGCGCCTAGTGCCCACTAACTGTACAACTCCAGCCTGCTCCACAAAATCACATATCATGCACAGACCCAAACATTTAGGCATACATCGACGAAGAACAAAAGGCAACATTGCATGGACCACAAAAATAAATGCACCGTAACACAAAAGGCATTTATTTATTTATTTATTTATTTATTTATTTATTTATTTATTTATTTATTTATTTATTTATTTATTTATTTATTTATTTATTTATTGGGCTACCAGCCGGGCCGCCCGGATCAGCTTGTTTGACCGGGGCGGCCCGGCCGTGCCAAACAAGGGCTCAGCAAAAAGAATAATTAAAAAAAAATCAAACAAATCTGGAAAAAAAAACTATGTCATGCAAAAACATAAACTGAACAACTTTTGCCTCAGGGTCACATCTGAACTCTTTACCAAATTTGAAAAAAAAAAATACAACTAGAATTTGTTTTTTCTTTAAAAAAAAAATTGCCTGGCCGGGCAACTTGCCCCAGACCACTCTGGTAGCCTAGTTTATTTATTTATTTATTATTTATTTATTTATTATTGAGTCTTTTGTTTGGTCTATTTTTGTTTGTTTCAGTGGTGTCATTTCATACTTTTCAGGTTGTCTGAATAGACGAGTGTCTGTGCGGACCTTTGGGCCACATTTAGGCCCAAGTAGACGAGGTTCATATCCGTCCTTAGTGAGGGAGTCCTGCTGCATCCGCAGGATCGCCTGGACGTCCGGTAGGGACCCAGACAGGCCGTTTTTAGGCCAGACCCTAGACCAGGACTCAGTCCTACAATCAGGGTCGTCGATCAAACATCTGATCCGACAGTTCTGATCGAGGATCGAGGGTGAGTATATAGCTGAGGCAACCCTCAAGTCTAGGACATTCAGGCACTCGCCATTCAGAGGCGCCACGCTGCTAGAGCAGCGCTTGTTTCCATGCGCCCTCCCTAAGCATGAGAGGGTGGGCCATTAGTGGACGAAGGGTGTGCTTGCAAACCATCAGTACATTGCCCGGTATACGGTCGCGGGACGGCGTCATGGCTTTCAGGGGTTGGGCCCACTCGGTAGGCCGTTGATGAAATTCTTCAATGGCGGCCCCAAACCCTGAAGGTCGTAGCGCGTTACCCAACTTGAAGAAAAAAACAGTTGGGCCAGCCACTGGTTGCAGAATGAATCTTTATTGCTTTGTAAACAGGTTCACTCAATTTTCGCTTCGCTTATAACTGCAAGTGAGCTGGCAATCCAGCTAACATGGCCCTTAGTCTTAGTAATCTGCCTTTCTGGGGTGTAAGTACTTATGTCCCGTGTTGTTTTCCACAACATCGCCGCATCCTCTTTCTGCCACAAAGAAAGATGGCAACAGGTAGGACCACATGCAACACGTAGTACACTCCTGGTAGGGATTGTCGTTTTCCCTAACCTTTGTTCAAAAATGTAACCGTTTGTTGCCCTATCCCTAACAACTCAATTGCTCTTGCTGTGCGTCATGCTCGGAAGATAGGAAATCTACTCACCAATGATGCTTGAAAGGAAATCTACTCACCAATGATGCTTGGAATGATGATCAATCAATCAATCAATCAATCAATCAGTAGTCAGTTTATCAACCAATCACCGTCATTCTCGAAAGACAGGGAATCGACTGACCAATGATGCTTGGAATAATCAATCAATCAATAATCAATTGACCAACCTATCAACCAATCACCGTCATCCTTGGAAGATAGGAACTCTCCTGACCAATGATGCATCAATCAATCAAGCAAGCAAGCAAGCAGTAATCAATTAATCAACCAATCACCATCATCCTTGGCCTATAGGGAAGCTACTCACCAAAGATGCTTGGAAGCAATCAAGCAAGCAAATAAGCAAGCAGTAATCAATTAACCAATTAATCAACCAATGAATCAGACATCAATTAATCAACCAATCAATCAGAAATCAATTAAACAAC